CATATACTATATGAAGAAATGCATTTTCCTGAATTTCCAAATAAAAGAATACCCTCTGCAGCCGATCTTCCAGTTGCTCCTTTAATTTGTTTCTCACTGTCTCCCGTTGACTGCAGATAGAGTTAGCTACTCGCAGAACCTTCAGGGACCTAGCACGTGCCCTACATTTCTCTGCTTCCAATAATCCTAATCGTTTCTTCTCAGCAGCAGCACGCTTCTGGTGAATAGCTGCTCGAACACACTCCTTATACTTGCTCTCCTGATTCAGCTTTCTCATCAAGGACTGTACAGCCCTTTCTCTCTTTGCAGCCCTATGTTGTCTACAAACTTTTAGAAGCACCATTCGGTTTACCTCTGCCTGATGCACACGTGATTTCACTTTCACCCCGAGCTCGTTGCACTTTCTCATGAAACCCATTTCTACTCCATTTTTAGCAGCTTGCCGCAGCTCGTCCATTCTAGCCAAGCGACCCTTAATATCGTTTAGGATGCTCAACCTGATTATATAGCATCAGAGGAATATAAAAAAGATTATCATTTTCATATTTTAGGCTCAATTGTTTTCTACTATAATCTAAAAGTAAAATATATTTGTTTTCATTTTACTCGTTCAAATTCAAATGGTAACATTACCATAGCACCTGGTCCGAAAAATCAGGAACAGAAAAAGGGTATGTACTGAAAACGAAATTACCAATGTATTGAAAACGAAATTACCTCTTCTGTTCAGCTGCATTAAGCTTGGTTTCAAGTTGCCCACCTATCACTTTCTCTTGCAAAGATGAACATGCACGAGATATTGTCTTTGTTCTTGCTTTGCTTGATAATGACGCATAGAATTGCTGCATTCCACATACATTACCATTAAAGTTGGGAGCTCTATGCATGTCAAAAGGTGCAGAAATAGACACATTAGTATTTATATTTTAGTAATATAGGCATTGTGCCAGGAAAATTTTATCATTGATAGAGTAAATTTCAACTATTAACAAAGCTATGTCAACATCCACTTCGTTCCAAAAATTTTTAACAGGCTTTACTAAATTTGTAGCCCATTATGTACAAAAATTAAGTTTAAATGAGATGCAGTAGATAAAGATTCACATAAGCTCATTGACTCAAAGCTTCAATAGCGAAAATTGGGTAAATATGGAAAAGCAATCTGTGTTTTTAGTTAATATCAACCAAGTTAACCAATATCATCTGTTAGGCTAAATCAAACCTAATTGAGGTTTGATAAATATGAAACTCTGCCCTCACTTCTACACGTCTCTTTGGTTTCTCAGTCCACGTGCCAAACTCCAGTCAAATCCTATCCTGCCTAGGATGGTTCCGCATGACCAAGAACCGAACTGCAGTTGCATCATAACACCATAGATTCTCTCCTTAAAAGGGGTCCCCAGATTTTCAGTCTTGTCTAAATAATTAATCTCCTTTGTCTTCTTAAACCGAAAGAACTAGAAATCAACTTGTCTAAATAATTAATCTCCTTTGTCTTCTTAAACCGAAAGAACTAGAAATCAACTCAGTAGTAAATTTTCGTTCAATAATTTAACATTCTTAATGCGCCTTCATAGTATCATACTTGTCATTTCAGATCAGAAGAGTCAACATTTAGTTATTGCAATTGATATTTATGAGTTCAAAATGTTCGTTTTCCCAATGAATATTTAAGTGCATAATAAATAACAGAAAACAATACTCAATCTCTTTCAAAGAAACGTTGGGAGGAAATCATACTACGACAAATGCATGAAACATAACAGAAAATTGATTCAGCAAGCTGATTTTTTCATGGAAACCTCAATATTGCAACTACATATGCACACAAACTATAATGCAAAATCACTTTCAAAACTCTTTTTTTCTCAAACTCATTTTCAATTACATATTTCCACTATAAAATATTTTGCAAGTAAGCCCAAAACATTTACCTACTTTTTAACCACACATTCTTCAATAAAACACTATTCCAAAATCCATTTTCCTCAAAAAAAAAAAAAATAATAATAATAATAATAATAATAATAATAATAATCCTGTTAAGAAAGAATTATAATGTGCACAGTGCACATTACATTTAGCCAATGGCGAAGCCAACACTCGGCGAGGAGGCGCGGCCGCCCGTACTAGCTCCGCCCGAATTTACAAGTTGGGAGGGAGGGCATTGGGCAATCACCATTGTTGTAGGCAGCTGAAAGACGGGGAGCTTAAGAATCAAGGGAGAGGGAGTAAGATGAGTGTTGGATTTGGACCAAAAATTCTTTCGGCTTTTGGGCTTTTTTTAAATAGGCCCATTAATATTATCCATAGATCCATAGCCTATATAGGTCATATGCCGAAAGTCAAACTAATTGCAAATTTGCAAGCATACACCGAAGACTTCAGACCATATTCTCTCTAGACTACGCAGCCCAATCCGATGCCGAGTGAGTTGGAGTTGGGACCTGCTTGCTACCGGCTACCATCGAGTCGCTGACATCGACCTACGCCACTGTCTACCGTCGATGTGAGCTTTTGTTCTTCTTTTTTTGTTTTTGTTATTTTTGTTTCATCATTAAAAATTTAGAACAAGTTAAAACCGAAGAATTCTACAGCCCTCCGCCACACCAATTTTCACTTTCCCCTCTTGCGGTTTCACTAGTTGATAACTTCAATGAGAATACTAGCATATTAACTTTTCTTTTTATCATTTTTGTCATTAACTTCACATTTGTTTATATAGCAATTCATAAGGTCATTTGAACAGGTGCTAAGCCAATAATAATACTAGCACCAAGTTCGAAACATTTATAAATATTACGGTTGTTGACCGTCGCAGTCAATGATCAACCCTGACCAATGATCCCGGATCAGCCACTGCATTTAGCTTTTAACTTTTGGCAAAACAATTATTACAAAAACACAATTTATCCAACACGAAATTTGCATACAACGCTCAAAGTACAGAAAGCAGTTGCTGGCCTTCTCCATGAATAAAGAAAAGGTTACCTGAGTACATTCTGTTGTTGCTTAAATATTCAATCTTTCAGAATGTCAAACAGCACAAGTTCCTTCAAACCATAAATAAATCGGCCTAATTCTACATTTCTCTATTAATATAGACACACATGCCCTTGAGTTTCCTTTCATACTTTATTAGTTTTTTTCCATAATTTGGTTATCTTTCCAAATCTTTTACCTACATAGGGAACTTCAAGTAAAAACTGTCTCGATCTCAAATTTCGATTTTTTTAGAGAAAAAAATTATGGTACATCAAACTAGAGCTGAAACTAGAAGGAAGAGAAAAAAAACAGAGAGAGACAACATACTTGCCGGCGTAGATTAGCATCACGGAGCTTGGCGTCAATATCTTGAGCAGAAACAGGAGGGCTTTTACACTCCAGAAGTCGGCGCCGGAGTCGACTTGGGAGTTTCGGAGTATGTGACGACGCCGCATTGTCGTCGGTCAACGAAATATACAATGCAGTTCCGTCCGATTTGATTTCCGACGTCGACATAGCCCTTAATCAGAATTCAGATCGCAAATTGCCGAAGAAGGAGATATTTTGTGCCAATTTAAATTAATGATTGTTTGAATAATTCTTCTATCCCCGCCTCTATTTATGGACGCGATCATGGAACTCGAGAGATAAATTTTGCTCACTCACTCAAATTCTAGAAGCGCCTAATAAAAGTGTCATTTTTTTTTCTTTACAAGTTTCAAACAATTGTTCTCTCCTTTTTTTTAAGGTATATTGTATCTAAAGCCCTCAACCTTTGACAAGTATTTTGTTTAGGTCTTCACACATACCTGTTTCCAGCCTTTTATCCTTGTGTGAGCATAGTCCTAACTCCTAACTTCTAACATGATGACGTCCGTCAGTTTGACTTTAAAATATTAAGGGTTTGTTCTCCTTATTATTTTCAAACCGTTTTCTATTTTCGATTTTTTAAAACAGTGAAAACGCATTCGCTTTTCTATTTTCGAAAACGCGTTTTTGAAAACAAGTTAAAAATTTATAAAGAAAACTTAAAACGACAAATTTATTATTTTTGGTATTTTCAGTTATAATCAAGTCAAAATTTTCAAAACGAGTTTTTGGTGTTTCCAAAATGTCAAAAAGAACACATTTTCAATAATCTTAAAATAGACACTCAAAATACAAAATTCAAAATGAATTCAAAACTTAAGACACAAAATTGAAACAAAAAGAGAACAATCCCTAAAGTTTTTGTGTGTAACCTTCTTCTAATTAAAACGAGAAGAAAAGAAAACTAAATATACATAATATCAAATTTGTAACTCTGAATTGTAAACTTTTTCAAGTCTCAAGAGATACATCCACCCCCAACAATCCCACTCTGCAACCACTACCCACCCAAAATTCAAACAACATCAGTTGCCACCCTTCACCAATGGTTGATGTCAATGGTCACGAATTCAAATTTTCAAGCATTAGGTGAGAGTGGATTTTGAGAGCAGTTATGAAACTGTGTAATGCTACTGAAGTCCGTGATGCTGATGTTACTAGAAATTGTAGACTCAATTAAGTATGTCATTAAAAATGAAGTTTGATTAACTTTTTATGAAACGAAAACTTTTACTAAATAACGATAAAACATTACGTTCTTCAACATCTTTTTATAAACATTACCTAGCAATATACCTAAAATTCTTTAAATACAATCAATTTTGTCATCTAATCTCTTTAGTTCCTCAAAAACTAGTTTATCTACTTTTCAACTTGAGAGAGAGAAAAAATTGTAAATCAATTCAAATTACGAAGATTGATTGTCATAAATGCTAAAAAAATTTATTATTGTAATAAATGTCTTTTAAAAATCCACCTAAACCTCAAAATTACGTTGTTTTCCTGGAATTCCTCCACCGAATTTCGATTTCGATTTCGATTCACATTAATCAATTGCATTCTAAGTGAATTTGGGTTTTAGCTCTTGATGTTTATATCTACTTTCACATATTTGTTTTCAAACCCTCTTCATTGTTTTTGTGTGTTCAATTTCCACCTTTGTTACTTTTTGTTGTTCATTTTTGGTATTTCTTTTCTGTTGTGTTTTGAAACTCACCGGTTTTCAAAACCTCTTCGTTGTTCTTGCATGCTCAATTTATGCTTTTATTGTTATCTTTTGTTGCTCATTTATTCTTTTCTAATTTAAAAAACTTTATTTGGCTATTGTGATTTCTATGCCTTGATTCTATTGGTGATGGTAGATCTAGATGGTTCTGGAGGTTGGCGGTTGGCGATGGTTGGGGGAGCATTGGTGGTTGATGACCGGATGGAAGTTGTGATTGGAACGAGCTTGAATATTTGATTTTTTTTTAATAGATATTGTTCTTTTCCTTTATTTACACTTATGGCTTAATTTATAGTAAGGAGAAGATAAACATTTTACCTAAAATTTGACGTTTCAATGGTTAAATAGACGATTTTGAAGATGATACTTGCACACTTTTCGAAGATCGAGGATTTGAGTGCTGCAAATGATAAATTAAAGACCTCAACTTCACATCTATCTAAGGTTGGAGACTCCATTGGAAATTATCCTTTTCTTTTATAACGTTAGTATTCTTTTAACAGTGTCCTCAAGTGACTTTATTTCAAAGTTCTTATTCTTTTTTTTTTTCTCTCTCTTAGCCTCTGTTTGATTTTCATTAAATTAGATTAAACAGTAATTTTATTATAAAAATTCCTACAAGAAAGCACTATTGACCGAAATCATGATTCAGACAGAACACCCTCTGAAATGACTTTTTTCATATTCTATCCTTTACTTTGCATCGAAATTACAAGTCTATCCTGATATTCATTCTCACCCAAATTAAACCAAATCCCTTTAAGCATTGAGCAACTGTTTAGTAAAAATTAAAATTAATATTTTTATTTAAATTAAAGATATTATTAATTTTAGTCACGTAATTTATTAATTTCACAGTTTTTTTATCATATATTTCATTAATTTATATCAAAATTTTTTAAAAATTTAATTTTAATCTCTACGATCTAATAATTTGGGTTGAGTTGGGTTGGGTTGGGTTGGTAAATACAAAACGTAAAGTGAAAGCTAATATGTAGGAGGTAGAAAAGTCAAATCCAAAACAACATTTTGTTAACATTTTTTCAATATTTCACTGGATGAGGGCCCGCGTAATAATTTGAATTGAAAGTGAGCTTTGTTTTTCACATTCTTTCTATACTCTTTTGTTACTACTTATTTTTAACCACATTTACACAATAAAATATTATATGCATAAATTCAAAATTTTTCCTACTTTTTAATCATGCATTTTTCAAAAATTCACTATTCAAAGCAATGTTTTTTTTCCAAAAAATGACCATCAAATAGGGGTTGAATTTTTTGAATTTTAATGGGTTTGAAACAGAGGCTTAGGGTCCGTTTGAATGCAAAAATGAAAAATGGGTGGAAAGAAAATGAATTCTAGTGAATTAAATTGCCTAAAATTGTTTTACTGATAATTGTAATTAATTGTATTTGATTGATATAATTTTTCACCTGTAAAATGTTGAAAGTTTGATATCCGTTTGACTTTCTTTTTTATGAAAATTGTCCATTAAATTGATAATTTCACTTATTATTGGATCTAAAATTTGTTTCACTTGCAAAAAAAAATTAAAAAATTTAAATTTTTTTTAAAAAAAATTGTCATACCGAATACCATTCATTCGATTTTGTTTTGTATGAAAATTGTCAATAAAAGAGATAAATTTTTTAACATTGTATCTAAAAAAATTTTCTAATTGCTTAAAAAAAGATGGAAAAAATTTTGGTAGGAATTGATTTTCCACTTAACCAAGGAATTGGTGAGCATATGAGCCAAATGTGAAAAAAAAATTATTTTTATTAAAAATAATGTGTATTAAACAAGGTAAAAGTGGAAATTGGAATTTATTTTCCATTTTTCATGGAAAATAATGCCCTATCAAACAGGGCATTAATGTAATTAAAAAATGATTGTGTTATTTGTATAGGGCCATGTGACTCTATACCCCGTCCCTCCCTCCCGAGTAGGGGGTAAATATGGAATGTAGAAGAAAAGCTAAAAAGTAAGATGTAGAAATTCAATTCCAAAACAACAATTTCTTAACGTTTCTCAACCTTTCACTGGTGAGGGCCCAAATAATAATTTGGATTGAAAATGAGCTATGTTTGTCGCACATTCTTAAAAAAAAAAAATTTGCATTGTCAACCATATATTCACACAATAAAGTATTCTACAAGCGAATTAAAAAATTTTCCAATTAAAATTTTTTTCTATTTTTTAATTATACATTCTCCAAAAATTCACTATTCAACACAATATTTTTCCAAAAAATGGCCATCAAACAGGGACCGAATTTTTTCTGAATTTTAATGGGTTTGAAACAATGGCTTAGCCCCGGTTTGTTTTTTATTTTTCATCCATAAAAATGAAAAATATGATCGTTATTCATCACATCAAGCCATCAATTATAAATTTTTATCTATTGTGTGGGGCCCAATAACGACTATATTTTTCATTCTCATTCTACAATAATGAAAATCAAATGGCTCTTAATGTAATTCAAAGAAGAATTGTGCTATTTGTCCATGGCTACATGGCACTGTACTTGGACCTGTTCCCCCCGTCCCCCCCCCCCCACCCCAAGCCCCCCACCTGAATAGGGGGTAAATATGGAATGTAAAAGGAAAGCTAAAAAGTAGGGTGTGGAAAGTCAATTCCAAAACAGCATTTTCTTAACATTTTTCAACATTTCACTGGATGAGAGAGCCCACATAATAATTTGAATTGAAAATGAGCTATGTTTGTCTCACATTCTTTCAATTCATATATTCTTCAAAAATTTATTATTCAACACAATGTTTTCCCAAAAAATGACCATCAAACAAGGCGGAGTTTTTTCTAAATTTGAATAGGGCTGAAACAGGGGCATAATGTAATTCAAATAAAAGTTGTGCTATTTGTACATGGTCACATGACAGTATAGGGTAAATATGGAATGTAAAAGGAAAGCTAAAAAGTAGAGGTAGAAAATCAATTTCAAAACAGTATTTTTTTAAAAACATTTTTCAACCTTTCACCAAATGAAGGCCCACATAATAATTTCAATTGAAAATAAACCTTGTTTGTCTCACATTCTTTCAAAATTCTTTTTTTACATATTCATTTTTAACTACACATTTACATAATTAAATAATCTATACATAAATCGAAAAGTTTTCTTAATTTTTAATCATATATTCTTCAAAAATTCACTATTCTACAAAATTTCTTCCCAAAAAATGACCACCAATTAAGGCTGAGTTTTCTAAATTTTAATGGGTTTGAAACATGGACTTAATGTAATTCAAAGGGTTATGCTACTTATAAAGAATCACATCGCACTGTACGAGAATCGTCCCCCTGCCATAGGGAGGGAGACGGGTGTCCCCTAACTCTATATAGGGTCATGTGACCCTATACAAATAGCATTTTTCTTCAAAGAATGACCATTGGAAA